TCTTCTCGTGACTGCAATTTAGGAAGGACAAGGTTCCTTCTTTTCAGTCTATCACTGGCGAGTGTTCTTTTAGCCACTTCATTCCTAGAATGATATCATACTTGATCGGCATCACATTAAGCTCGACTTGCTCTCTGTGCTCTTCAATCTCTAGACAGGCGTCGCGAATTTCCTGTTGTATCCATCCGTCATTGTACTCTCCTGGCGTCCCGTCTGCCATAAAGACCGGGTATAGATTCTTTTTTCTTTGCTTGTTCAGTTTCGCTGCTGTTTTTGGTGACACGTAGTCTCGGCTTGCTCCACTATTAATCATCACTTGGACAGGCTCATTAGCTAGTCTGGCGCTGAAGACTAATGGCGTTGAACGCTGAGTCTGTACTATATTGATGTAGCGTTTCCGAGGCTTTTTTCTGTTGCGCGGGACCTTTCGCCTCATGATAGGTCCTCCGCCTAGTTTTTTAACACGTCGTTTATGGTCGTATCCCGGCTTCCAAAAACATATAGAAGCACCTCGATCAGTGGTTCGATCATATCCTCCGTCGTGAGATGTGCGTATATCCTGGGTGCATGGATGCACGTCGTGTCAGTACACCACTTTTTGGCTAACACAAGGACTTTATCCTTTTCGCTTGTTTCAGGGTCGAACTCCGGGTGGTAATATGATGCTCCGTTCAGGCAGTTTGTCCGCTCACATTTTACTGGCCTCCAAAACGGGGTTGAGAATCAGAGGTGTGTTTTAGTTGTCTTAGTAACGACAAACTTGAACGAGTCATCCTTATTGGATTCTTCAGGGGTACCGATTATCATGAGATCTTTCGACTTATATAGTAGGTAGTGTGTTTCGCTCCCAATTATATCGTGTGTGTGTTCTCCTTTATGCGGACACCGTTCGTCGTGACACAAGCATAAGGTCATAGAAACCCAGTGGGCATTTAGGTTAATATAGGGGCTATATCTTCGGACCCCTTTTGCTGTCTGAACCCAATGATATATTCTTATAACCATAACATCCCTCGTCCTTTCTCCTTCGATATAGTGTCCCACCACGTCTTGATCGATCTCTTCTAAGGTTAGATCGTCACGTTCTTTAAATGGGAAGAAGTAGGGTTCTCCAGTATCAGTCTGATGTGTATGAGGAGCTAGGCCTGGGCACCTAAAGCATCGCTATATAGGTACCGGCCTCTTTTCCTCCTGCTCCTGAGTATAGTTCAGCTTGAGCCCATTATTGACTATACACATCCCGGGTACTCCTTCCTCATAGTAGATTTAGTTCGGCGTCTCGATAACCGCGTGACAGTACCCATAGAACAACACGGTGTCATACTCGGGCTCAGAGTCGCTCGAGTTCAATTCTTCGCCGAATGTGAAATCGTAACGGTCCTCCCCTAGTACGTCGTGTGTATAAGTAGGTCCTTCACACATTTCTTCATATTTTGTCACGGGTACTAAGTCTTCCTTGTCCCTCGGACTTCCTTTAGGATCGAATCTTTTGTGTTCCGTGGCGCAACCCCTTCTGCACACTTGGGTGCATGGTATATTCTTCCAGTACTTTGTCGTGAGTACTGCCACACTGCTATGATTGGCAATTATTCTGTATTTTTCTTCGTGTCGTGTCCCTATTGTTGACGTAGCCGCTCTCTGGGCGTCGGACTCCACCCAGACGAACGTTTCGTCTTCTTCTTGGTCGCTGGGTTCGTTGTTTTCCTTATTGGAGTTGTCGTCGAATAGAAAATAATGGATTATGGGTATTCCCCACGTATTGTGTGTATGTGGACGGGACCCCTCGATGCAGTTGGGTTCTTGATAGATACGCATGATAAGGACATACTCTGTTGGTTGTTTTCCTCGATATGGGCTCAAGAGGGTTCTGTCCCCTCTTCTGGTCTAATAATGTGTTCGTACCATCACTAGCGTTTCCGCTCTGCTTATGAGGTTATAGGTGCTTGCGACTTTCCAGTTCATCTGGCTCGGGGTCCATTTCTGTAGTAGTTTAAACGGGAATTGGTATCGTTCTCCCCCTGCTAGGTGGATGTGGGGTTCTTCAAAACTGCATTGCCAGAAGCACCTCTCCAGCCTCAGTGGTATTCAGTCTTGCTTGACATTAGTGTGTGGGCTAAACACGGCCCTGTTGATGCCATGTTCCCAATGACGGGTCCTGATCCGTGCAAACCCGTATCCGACGCTAATTATTTCGTATGGTGGTGATCTTGCTTCTACCATGACCACTGTTTCAGGCTCTTCCCAGTCGACTTCCTTTCTCTTGGATTTTTTGCTTCGACGATTCTTGCGCTTCTTTCCGTGAGGGAACTATCCTGCACCCTGCTTGTCAGAGTAGTGGATGGGGCAGTTGTCGTCGTGGCAGGCTGTCCATGATAAGTTCGCGTGTTTTGGCCGCTCTTCGTCAGTCTTTCGTGTCGTGGCTATTTTATCCTGCCGACCTCGGCCAGGATAGGTTCCTGCGGTGTCGGTAACCTCTTCACCGTTGACCATTAACAGTGGTACCGGAGTCGCTCCCTCCGTCTGGGCTCCTTCGGAGTTCCCCTTCTGTGCTTTCTCGGCGCGGCTAGCCTGTTCTGAGTTGTCTTCCTTGAGGCCATCCAGGTATGCCTTCATCATTTGTTGTCTTTTGGGTTCTAGGCTTCTCAATCCCCGGATCTGTTCTTTGCTCTCAAGTCTCAGGCGCTCGAGTTCTTTCTCAATTGGAGTGTCGGCCTTTTCTTCTCCAATACCGGCTTCAATCATATACAGTCCCACGGGCTTTGTACCGCATTCGTTAGCCCTATGTCCCGGATTTCCACAGTTGTAGCACAGGTTTTCCTTTTTTGCGTCGTTCTCGCTCCTTGTTGGATAGCCCTTTGCGTTGGAACTTACCTTTCAGTCGTGAGGACCGGCCCCGTTCAACAACATCAAGGTCCATCGGATCACCATAAGACTGATAGTTGGTGCGCTTGCCCTTATAGTACGCGCCACCCGTCTTTCCATGGTATCCTTTCCTCTCCAATCCTAACTCGTATAGCCAGTTGTCAATTTCGATGGCTTTGTTGACCAACCCCTGATACGTGTCAGGCCTCTCCGGTCCCAACTCCTTTTTTATGTTGTCCTTTAAGCCAGTGTAGAAGGCAGCGGCAAGTACGTTGTCGTCCCAGTCCAGTTTGGCCTGAAGCCTCTTGAATAGAGCATAGTACTGCGCGGCCGACCCCTTCTGCTTGAGTTGGTAGATTCGTTGGGCCGCGGCCTGCTCCTCCCCTGGAGTTCCAAACATCTGCTTGAGTCGTTCCATGAATGTCGCGAAGTTAGAGAAAATGGCAATAGTTTCCGGGTCCTTTTGTCCTTCGGGGGACGTCATGTGGTCCATCATGATGGGTTCAAACCAATGGAAGGCTGATCCCCTCATGTGAAGTCTCGCGAATAAGACCTTGTCTTCATGGGTGACATACCTGGTGCGGTTTAACTTGAAAGTCGCGATGAGTTGGGTGACGAACAGTCCCAACTTCTCACGAGATCCATAGAACACGTCAACCTTGGTATCGTCCTTGCCGTGATTGCCATAGTTGCCATAGCTGGAGGTGACAGTGGAGGTGGGTCCTGGTGTGGGTGCGCCTGGCGCGGCGGACCGAACCGACCCAGTAGAGGATGATGAGCGGATAGGAGCTTTGGAGCTGGACATCGTGTCGAATACTTCCAATCAAGTGGTAGTCAAAGTGTTACGTTTCGCTCCACCCGGGGTGTCACTGCACGTATAGTTCCTTGATGGGTGGGAAGTAGAGGAGACGAGGTCACTGAGAACGGAGTACTTGAGCGAGTACTAGAGCGAAGTGATCACAGTCCAAAACGTATGGGTATGATCGTGAACGAAGTTGACTACGTAGTAAAGCTATGAAATGACCGTGTATATATATTCCTGCGTGCTCAGCGTTGCTCAGTATTGCTCAGTGCTGCTTAGTCCTGAGCGTACTGATCCCTACTGATCCACACTGAGCGAGGTTGCCTGGCATCCACGTGACTGTCCGCACCGTGACCTCTGTCCCGTGGCTTGCCCTCGGGTAACCTGCCTCTTGAGTGATTTGCTGTCGTCACAGCTTCGTATGCGGCCTACTCGCAGGCCTGGTTCGTAACATCTTATTGATAAATAAAATCCCCCGTCAAGTAAAGGTTACATCGTTCACAAGAGAGTGTAAATCCACCTCGAATCGGTCCTGTACATCCTCCACCCACATCAGGTCCCGCCATAGCATGTCCTCAGCCCGTCCGATGGCATCGACAATCATCTTCCGGAACAGCGCGATCTCAATGGCTCGTCCGCGAAAGTAGAGTGTCTTTTTGTCCCGAGATCATGACACACTATCGGTATTGCCTGTATTTATCGCGATATATTTACTGTATACTAGTAAACTAAGCATTTTACTCATTGAGGTGCCATTATCATCAGCCAGATATTGTCAGCGCTGCTCGAGAAAGCGCCCACAGACATCGTCGTTATTCTCTTGTTTATCACGATATTATAACGGGAGTAAGATCTCCACTCCAAGTAGCTAAACACAGTACACCACCCCAGCCAACACGTATGAGAAGTCGGACGCTCGTCGCAGTCGATTGTTGTCCTCGTCGATGCCCAGCACGGCCAAAAAATGAATTAACCCGCTCTTGAACTGCTGGCCACCGACCTTCTGAAAAATGAAACTCTGAAAGACCCTCAACATCGCTTACATTGAAGCCTTATCTGCCGAGGAGATCTCTTCGAGATCAGTATTTAATGTCATCTCCAATGATGTGAGCTGATCATAGAGTTATGATACCAGTGTCCACTGCTCACCCTGCCACGGAAATAACTCATGAGCATCCTTCATTAGATCGATGGACTTCTCTCGATCGACGGTCTCGCTCTTATCCTCACTTTCGCTGCTTAAGGCTATCCCTTGATCATTATCCTCCTCCTTGTCATTCTCGCTGTTATCCACCGACTCCGATAGCGTCTCATGGGTTTCGATGATTGGGCCTGGTCAAGACTCTGGTGATGAACTCGAATTCGGTTGGTTAAGCCGCTGCGGGTCCTGTGAAGATAGCCATACCCGTAAGACGAGACACAGAAAGCGTCGCATGTAGCCGTGATATCGGTCTTGGCTGTTCGGTTCTTGCAGTCGAGAGAACGGTCGGACATCAGGTTCGGCCTGTTTGGCGCTACGAAGCCACCGCCAAAGCTCCTGCTCCAATGTTGAGAGACCCATCACTGTATATTGCAGTACAAGATCCAGTACTTGTACAGCCTCGTGTAGCACAACTTCATCTCGATCTGGGAGTCGGCTGGCATGGGCCAAGAATGGCAAGTTCCGCTTCGCCAAGTGCTCGGGCCATTCGGTGTGCTTGTACCATTCTGTTCGATCTTGTTTCAGGGTCTCCTTATCCATTACCTTCAATTTTTCATCGTACCGTGCACGAGTGGCTGACCACTCAAGTTTGATGCGCTTCACTTCTTCTTTATGGAGATGAGATAGTGTTCTCTGTAGTGCTAGACAAGGAACCGAGTGATCGACATTCAAAGTGGACTGATTAGTATCGAGGTGATGAGTCTCGCCGTGATCGGTTCAAACCACAAAGTACTTGATGAGATTGCGACTGGTAAAGAAGGTCTGGGCTTGAACAATGTTCCAATATGTTGGTTGATCCTGAGACTTCCGCCAGCCATGTTCTTGATTGGCGTGCTTTCGAATATTATCATGATTACTCTGAATGACTCGACATGTACTGGCTTGACATTGATAGACAGTGACTGGCGCCGCCAACCCCTTAATAGGGTCAACCAGCTCAATGGGCGACTCGATTTGCTCGGGCGACACACAATCATCATCAGCATACGTGGCAATAATCTCCCTTCGTTGCCTTAGCGAGAGGGTATGCTTATTCAGTAGATGTCGCGCGAGATTTCGTAGGGCGTAATGGTGAGTGGTGCAGATATGAACACGATATACACGATTATATAGTATAGGGTCGTTTAGCTCTATGTTAGTTGGTGGTGGTGGTGGTGTGTCGTGAGTGGGGATGGTGTAGGCATGTGGCGTCGGCTGATTGTGGCTAGGTAGTTTCCAACTAAAATTCATCGTGGCCCGAATCCATGAAACCCTAATGATTTGGCGGCATTGATTTCTCTATAACCATCACGATTTATATCAATCAGAGGTTAGAATTAAACTCGGCGAGTCTAATACTGTAAGAGAGTAGTTGATTGAGTCTACATCACTTGAAAATCAAGGGGGGATAAACATTGGGCTTTGGTGTTGGGTTTGGATGTGGTTTTTTCTTAAACTAGTAATGTCTTGGCAGTCACGTGCTATCATGATTGCCTAAAGAGGAAGGGTAAGGACAATGCCCTCAGTATCACATTGGGTAGGATGCCCAACACATCAGAGTAGTGCACCACAGCATTGTGACTTATCGTCCTATCCGTCGAGAGATCAGTCCAGAACATAATTATGAGCTGAAAGAGATTCTTGATAAGCGGCGCATTATCCTCCAAAGATATCTCTATAGGCTCGCTATTACATTGAATCTCCAAACCACGAGGCAAACTGGCAAACTCGTTCCACACCTGCCGCATCATCACTTTTTGGCTGGCGGTTAGCTGCAGTCCAGTAACGTCGACTGTCTCCGCATGCACATGAGTCGCCAGGAGCCAAATTCGGTACACGTAGCACAAGAACCGTTGAAAGTAACTATAGTAGCGACGTTTAGTCGCTTCGCGTTGAACCATCGCGAACGGGTATGGGAGGTATGTGGACGACCAGCTCCAGAGCCAATATCGGAGGATACGGGGCGTATCTTGTAACGTCTCAGCACAGCGAGAAAAGACGAGATTAGTCGCTTGAATAAGACGCTTTAATGTCCGCTTCTCGGCCGCCGAGCTAATGCAGTCCCGCCCACACCAAGTGCCCAACATGAGGTCGTGATCCCCATGAGGAGATGGTTGTTGACTGGCTGCCACAATCAGTGCGAGAGGACGTTGTGCAAACCATCGCGGCCATTCACCACCCCGAAGCCAGTCGGTGTTCTCGTCGTGTTCCAGTTCCTGCGCTAAGGCAGGAGCCCCTTCTTGCGCCTCCAGGAGACGACGCTCTTCCTCGGCTTCCGCGGCGAGAAGGTCAGCTAGATCGTCAGAGCTAGACAACGAAGACGGCAACGTATGACCCAACGAGGGTTCGGTCTTGACTGAGGGCTGAGGGACGTCAACGATCCAATACACTTGGTATGCCCGGCGATTAGTCCACGACTGCAAACGGCATGTGGTGGTGGCACTATCTGAATGTCCGCGATGATCGGGATGTTGACGTAGCCAGTGGTGACGTAGACAATCGCGACTAATAGTTTTGAACGTGATACAGTGTGGACAGTGAAAGCCTGGTAGCGGATCCTTGAGATAGGTCAAAGGGAGGGAATGATCTGGCCGTGGCTGTACCTCCTGCCAGATCTAAATAACAGGCAAGTCGCGAAATTTTGCTTCAATCTCCCGCCGTCGTCGGGCGAGAACTCCTTGATATGATAACTGAAGATGGCGCGCCAGGAGGGTCATAGATACAAGAACTCGACATTCTCGACATATTAGACCGCGTACTTCAGGGATATAAACGATTGCATCCCATGTCTGGATCGAGGATAGCGTGGTTATTGTGGGCGACGAGGGCAAACGAGGTAGAAGTATATAAGACCCACTTATACAAGCGCGAGGGCAACAAAGACGACATAATTCTACTTCTCGCAGTATATCCATAAACGATCAATCAAAACCTTATTCATAGAGAACGACCAGTCTACACTGAGAAAAGAGAGAAGTTCACTATACTTCTACGCGTTGTGGTTAGGAGCGCGACCTTACCGGCTTAAGGCAAGCTTAACACGCTACCATGATAATGTTGACACTAGGCCTTATATGATTGGGTTTTGGTGAACTTCACGTCCAGAAGGGGAAATGTTCTTGTGCTCTTCGATGAGCCTCGCGAAGTACAGTGAACCCCGGCTAGGCATCCCACTTGTAGGAAAACAAGATCGAGTAAGTCGGTCTTTTGGGAGATCTGTCGGATTAACCAGTCATGACAACCGTCAAAGTAAACCAAATTGCGTGGATCCTCAATGAAGCTGTATCCGGGCCGGTTGTTGGACCAGTTGTCTTGGAGCTCTCGCAGTGGAAACGTGGGCACATCGGGCAAGCCTAGACACAGCTCCTCGTGAAAGATTCGCTTCATCTCTTGAAGAGCCAGACTCATCTCCGTCGCCAGATCAGTAATGCCATAGCGAGTGTCGCCGTATGTTAGATTCTGACCGTCAGCGTCCCAAACCACCAGCGCTTCGGGGATGGCCGCACCGCCGACGCGCATCGTGTACAGTCGCCAGTCACTCATCACGCCGATCGGGCCTCGAGTGTTGTTGACGACCCAATGCTGACAGAGCTCTCGAAGTGGCACCTCTACGTCGTTTAGCTGTTGAAATTCCTTGATGTAGTGGGCGTCTTGCAGAAGAATGAGCTGACAGCAGTAGATTAACTTGCTCAGTAAGCCGGCGATCTGGCCCTCGGCACGAAACGTGATGGTGTTATCTTCATGGCTGGTGATGGTGGAACGGGCGGCGAGAAATGATATGATGGCGCTGTCGTACGCTTTGATGATCTGGTGCTGAACGAGCGCGGTACAGAATGTAAAGAGATGATGATCCGATTCGGACGACAGCGAATCGAGCTGCCCTTCCGACTCGATATCGAAGTGAGTGTCGACCTCGGAAATCTCGCTGGGATTCCCGTCAGAGTCTGTCGCGCGGAGCATCACCAATTTCTCGGCCACACTGAGCGCCGCGGTGAGAGATTCGGCCTGAGCGTCGGTGACGACAAACATGTCCCGGCCAAAATGACCTTCAAACACTCGGATGTAGTAGCAGAGCAATGCTTGAAAAACCGCGACGTAATTGTGAAATGACAACTTGTTCTGCAGCATCTGAAACGGATCCTGTGTGATGGTGCCGGCCTGGAACGTGTTCAACACTCGCGCATCCACATGGAGTAAATCTGGCACCAATCCGTACGCCTGGGTTAGTATTCGCTCGACCGACCAAATCATTTCTCGAAGTCGTGAGTGGTCGTCGCCCGCCTTGGGCGTGGCATGCGATTGAGCCACCGTCTCGGCGGAAAGCTCCGCCAAGTGTCTCTACATCGCACTCTTTCTCAGCCATGGCGTGATTTCTGAGACATGGTTGGGCTCGCCCAGCTGCTGATAGCGACCCTTGTCCGCTTGGATCGCACTGTGAAATCGAGTCGTGACAGATTGAGTCACGTCATGATGATGTCGGTGGGAGTGGTGTGGACGCCTTGCGGCGGGGGTGACTGGATGGCTGACCATGTGAGATGTATCATTCTCCAAACCGACTGAATCTTCACGCCGCACGATCCAGTAGTCTGTCGCCTTGGGTTTGGCAAAGAAACATTGAAGTATCACGGGGCGATACATGAGTCGTTCTTTTTGTCGACGTCGAGTGTCGATATGATGCTCTTTACTACAATGCCTTTGACTCATGCCCTCACTGGTGGATAAAAATTGACATGACCCAGTGGCGACGCATGAGAATCCTTGATAGAACTGAAGCTGATGGATAAATAGGCTATGATTGGGTGGCTGAGTCACCGTGGGCGCGATATTTTGATTGTGAACCCAGTGTTCAACGTCTTTGGCCAACTGTCCGTTGAGACCATGTCTACGAAGTGTATGTAAGCGTAAATGTTGACCGGGTGTGAAACATATTTGATGCTCGATACAGAGAAGTACTCCATTCTGCGGCAGTGCCCGTAGCCAAGTAACGGGTGCGGGGGCGTCGAGCTGGACTGTATTGACGGTGTTCACGGACGAATTCATGTCTGTCGATTTAGTCATTAAGTTCATGCTAAAATCTAATATACCTGACGAGCGTTGAACTGACGAGCGTTGAACTGACGAATGTTGAACTGATGA